GGGAAAGTTCTGGTGTGATCTGATCTAAGACCCATCTTTATGATACTGTTTCAGCTAAGTCGTATGTTGTGATATTTGGTTATGTGTAAGCTGTTAGTCATACCAAATTCATATCTGCCCATTACTTCTAAAAGTGCAAACCAGGTCCGTTAGTGTTGCAATTCACAACAATCAAATTCCTCAACCCTTCCTAGATTCACATGTATAAAATGTTTAGAATGTTCTTCAAATTAACTTTCTAATGATCCCCTAGGTTTAAGATAATTTAACTCCCCCTTCTTTTTAGGTTGACATAGAAATCAATGGCGAGCCGGTCAATCTGCAGATGAAGTTGGGTGAAAATGGAGAAGCCTTTTTTGTTGAGGAATCAGAGGAACAAAAGGTGAGCTGACCATATGGCATAAAAGCTAACCTGTCCATTGTTTTCAAATATGCTCCCTGAGAGAATACACAAGCCTTCCCTAACCTGGTACCCTCTAGATACTCCCATAGTCCCTGACATTTGGATTTTTTGGTAGGGGCTGATGGGAGTTGCAATTCCAAACATCGGAAAGACACCAGATTGAGGAAGGCCGGACTAGGCTGAAGACTTCTTATTTTTCTAACCTTCTGCATGTTTCTTCTGGGATTCTTGAACTGCTCTTTCTTCTCTGCATAGTCCTCTTGAAGCATTCAGACCTTCAGTAAGCATTCAGTAAGATGAGGGTGAGAGCAAGGAGGAGCACATTCTGGACCTGCCTCATCCTCTGCTGACTTGATTGTATTCTGTGCACTGGGGAGACTGCAGTTCAGAGTCTTCTCTTGTCTGGCAGGCTCCTTGCCTGACTGAGAACCCTGGAAGATCAGGATTCTGAAATGTGTGGGGTGAGCCTATACACTGGAGTGGGCCAGTTCTCAAGATGTTTTGTCCTACAGCTCCCATGATCCCCCAGCACTGGCTATACTGACTCAGACTGATGTGAGTTGAAGGCCAAAACATCTAGAGAACAAGTGGGCCACTTCTGCTATATTATGCACTGCAGAACTTCAGCTATAACACTTGGAAGTCAGAGAAGGCAGCAATGGTGACACCACAGACAACACAAACTTGCTGCTTCTGTCCTCATACAATTGGAATTGAAAGAATCTAATGAAGGATAGGGCTCATTCTTCTCAGTTATCCTTATAAATTGTTCCTGGCCATTCAATTATATGTTAGACCACCATCTGCTGCTGCTTTTGTTGTTTCCTGTTGTGGGTTTCCCTTGTCTGGTGCTTGGAATTTCCTTGCTGATCTTTTTCTGAGGATTCGCATGGAGTGATTCTGTGGAAGTACACACATAACCGTATGTGCATATATTTGCTCATTGCATGCTTTGACTCTGTTTTAGCTAGTTTGAGTCCACTGAAATCCAATTTTGGCCTCTGAAATTTAGCCAGACATCATTCTCACACTCCAAGAAGAACTGATCGTATTTCAACAGGTGTCCAAAGTTTGTATGCCTGAAACCGAAGATCTTTGTTGGGGGCGGGGGCAGACCATAAGAACAAGTACTGCAGCTGCAGCTCTGCTGAAATATGCTCAGAAACCCAACCTTAGCTGGCATCGAGGGCTAGCACTTTATTTAAGAGAAAAATGACTGCCTCAGGATGCCAAATTCGAGGTTTGCTTGCCTGTGGCCAGGGCCATCTTAACAGCATCATGGGCCCCAGGCAAAGCAGTGTACCGGGCCCCTACGACAACTACAACTACTGTTAATTTTGGAAGTTTTCCAATTTTCCAAGGGTTAACATACACAGATTAATAGGGGGCCCAAGGGCAAGTGCCCATCAGGCCCATGCGTTAAGACGGCCCTGCCTGTGGCCCTCTGCAGTAGGCTCTGCAGTTTTTGAAGCTGATCATGAGAGCCAGAGCAAGACAAGGAAACATTTTGTAGACTCTTTCAGGTGTTCATTAGCAATAATGAAAACATGTGGGCCATGCCTGTTCATTGTCTCCTATTGAATGCCATTTGGATGTAGGAAAATGCATACTCTGACCTCTTCCTGGGTTGTGCTCATTTACCTTCCATCAATTTACTTCCATACCCTGGCCTTTTTTGACCATTGGCTGTAGGATTAGTTCCAGAATCTGCAAGGCAGAGAAAAATGCCCCTTTAAAACTGGCTGACTTTTCAGAACCAGGGATGGATGACTTTTATTTTAGCTCACTCTTCCTGGGTTCTCTCTCTTTTTTCCTTTTTAAATTCCTCCTGTCTCTTTTTCACATTGAATTGTGGATTCATTTTTGTTTTGTCTGCACACAAGTGTGCCTGAATTTCCAAGTATATTAAAAGAAAAGTGTGTGTGTGTGTGGGGGGGTGACTCATTTTGATGACACACATTTTAAGTGATTGTCCAATTAATAAAACACACATTTCCCCCAAATGTAATAGTTTTGTGTATGTTGCTGTTGCTTTGTGAACTGTACCACAAAGTTCAGAAATGTATGGGTTTTGATGGCAAAAAGCATTCCAGTCTGTGTATAGGTTTGGATAGCGTGAATGTGGGTAGTTTGCATTAAAATGTGAACCCAATGAATTCTTCACCCATCCCTATTCAATACTGAAGTATCATCATACCAAAGTCCACAATAACAAGAGTGAGAGAAGGGACTTTGATTTCTCAGCCTGTCACTGTTAATCTTCTGCCCATTCTACCAAGCAGATCTCAACAAAGTCTTTCTAATTAAAAGTATTTATTATAGTAAACCTGACTATCTAGGTTGGCTTTGGAATACAGAAGATGAGTATTGCAAAAAGCAAAACGAGTTAGGGAAGTTAAAATACCAACTGTTGGGGACATGTGACTTAATGAAACAAAACTGATTCAAAGCTAGCTTCTTTTGCTGCCTTCCAGACTGAGAAGAGCTCGCCCCACCTCGAAGGTTCCACTAATCACTTGGTACAACGGACGCTTCTCAGTTGGTCAACCCTGTTAACCTGATGCCATATGACGCAGCTGCTCATGCTGGGTTTGCCCCTTTGCAAATCAGCTTATTTACTAAACTTTCCCAAGAATTTGAAACAGCTTGACCCTATGCAACTGCCTAGCTTATCTCTGGGGCCACTGGCCTTGGCAATTCAGCTGTGGATTCTGGCCTTTCCTCCTTTTCTGACTCAGAATCCAAATCAATGACCTTTGAAGGATGTATCATAGAAGGAGTGGCCCAGTTCAGCTCAAGCCACAAAATGAAGCAGGGAGGGAATGCCAAGCTTCTCATGAACTTGATGGCTGAATGGATAATTTGTGCAATCTTATTCCATGTGTTTGTTTCAATCTCTATTCCACTTTTTGATGCTATAATCCCTGAGTTGACTTAAACAGATTTTTAAAAATATATGTGCACCAGCAGTCCTTAGTTTGCTAAGTAATAGGTTCAATCAAAACAGGCTTCCCCCTTCTCTGTGGTCCTGGAACAACGTGGTTGGAGCTGAATATTCTTTTTGGCAGGGAAGAAGGCAAAGCTTCCTGCAGCTGCTTTTTGTGGACAATAAATGGGGCCAGGTGGATGGGACTAGGCTAGCAGGTCCAGTGAAAGCCCTCTTTGCACCTGACGCAATAGAATTAATGTTGCTGTCAGCATGGAACCCTCTTTTCCTTCCTGCCACCAGCTGTCCCAGTCCAGGTTGCTCACTGCCTTTCTTTGCTGATGTGTAGTGGTTGATGGCAGCTGTCTGCAGCAGGGAGGGAAGGTTGTGCAGTTGCTCACTGGGGAAGAAGGAGATCTTGGTGGTTCTGAGCTTTTATGAGATTTCAGTGTATGGCTGAGATATCACCAAGTGTTGGCCACTTATGGAGATCTCAGAAGATCATCTGAAGCCCCACAGAAGGAAAGGTTCCATGCCTACTCCAAACATGGCAGGAAAAGGCTCTCTGGAGTACCTGCTGGAGGAGGAATGGTGGTGATCTCTCCCAATTGCACTGGGGCGGAGGAGCAATACAATTTTCCACTCACACCTGCTGGAATGGGTGTGGGCTTTCTGGGCTGGGAGCAGGGGGACAGTGGCTGCTTCACCCTGCTTCGTGTGTGGCTTGGCTAGTCTTCACCTTGGCTGTGATGTTTCTCCTGGAAAGCAGGAGGTACAACTTCCCTGCAGCACTGAGTCCCCCAATGTAGATCCGAACATACTCATCTTCTGTTCTGCAGTCCTGGGTATTTGGTTTTTATAGGATTTACAAAATCTGGTTTCCCTTTTTGACAAATTTGGGTTTGAATTTGCCTGGCTTTATGTTTTAATCTGGTCCTAACATAGCCATTGTGTCTATCCTCCCCCCTCCGCCCCACAACATACCCTTGTGTTCCAGGAGAGCATCCCTTACTCCTTGTGCACATCTCCCATCCCCTCAGAGAAAAGTGCAGAATCCAAGGACAGAACTTCCAGTTTGTATGGAAATCCAGAAGGTTTGGGCTCAGACACAGCTCTTCGTAAGAAAAGATGGTGCAAGAAGAAGCCAAAAAAGAGGGAGTCAACAACAGACTCAACTTCAGAAGAAGAGGGCACTGAAAGTGAGCGAACTCTTGAGGAGAAGCGGAAATTGTTGGCTTCCAAGTGAGTAGCCTACGATCCAAATGTGAGCTGCTGGAATGTAGGGAATGGTCACAAGTCCAATATTATTGTGAGTCTGGGGTGACAAACTTCTACCGATCTCTGTCTTCTCCACTCATTCCATTCACTTACATTTTCTCATTTTCAGAAACCCAGCTTTTTTCCTACTTTTATCTACCCCCTCCATCAACCCTTCTATCATCCTCTGTTTTTCAGATCTTTTTCTCAACTATCCCTTTCTTCTCTCTCTTCCCTGATTGCACTCAAGGTGGCCTTTAGGAGATGCACGCAGTGCGGGAGCCACCTGTCCACAACCAGTGGGCATTCCTTGTGCCTATTTTGTTTAGATGAAGACACCACATGGACTCCTGTCCTCATGGCCAGGCATTCACGTGGCAGGCTCAGAAAAACTGAGCAGGCCAGCTCATTTACCAAATAGGCAAACAGTTCATAGGCTATAGATTCAATATTCCTGTTCTAAATCAAGTATAACATGAACCATGCCTCTTAATATGTTACAACTCCAGCATTGCCTGCTTGAGATGGCAAGAGGGAATTCATCAAACATCTGACAAGTTAGCAATAGTGGATTGTATTTAGCTTGGTGGATCAAAACTGCTTTTATTAGACTGAGACTGGGCTCATTCAGACAGCATGATGACTTACACATGTGTATGGACTGAGTGTAGGTTCTCATTGAATCATGGGTTGTTGTTGAAATGTGCTTGTCTGAAACCAGCTGAGATAGCAAACCATAGTGAACAACTCACAATTCACAAGCCAAAAACAAAGCTTGGGTTACCTTCATGGGTTGTTTGTTGGTTAATAAACCACAGTCTTTTATCACAGTTGAGCTCAGGCAACCCAATAACCCACAATATTTCAACAATATACAATGCCATATTTCAGTGGTAACCCTGGTTATCATGTTGTCTGAATTCAGTAAGTTCACTCTCAGATTTCTAATATCTTAAAATAGCTATGTTTTGTATTCATCTTCTTTATTTCCTGAAATTAGTACTACAGTTCATTAGGTTGTGTATAACATTTAAATTCTCTTACTGGCTTTCTCTTTCTTCATCCCATTTCCAGCGTCATTTAATAGTGACAGTGTAACTGTCAGGAAACATGCAACATTACTGGGTGCCTTTGCGTGACAAAGCAACTTGTATTTCTGTAACCTTCTACTTGTCAGGACAGTGGTGGGACCACTGAGGCTAGCAGTCAGATATCATCTCGCCTTTGTGGAAAACAGTAGCAAACTGTAGCCCACGCTTTTCATGATATCAGGCAGCATGCGGGAGTTCAGACTTCCTTTGGCTGAGTTGACAAATTTCCCCAAGAGACTGCCCAGGCATGGATTCCAGATGATATGTTAGATTTTGCTGGGCAATCAATCAATACGCAAGACAAGAAATCAAAACTCTGTGTGTGTCTCTGTGTTAAAAGGTCTGCCTGCATTCTTCATAGTTATAGAGGACTGGAAATGTAGTTTCAAAACAAAACATGAACTTATATGTCACTTCTCTGACTCTGCATTGTAAACACATGCCCAAAAATGCGTAGATGATGCATTCTGATTTTGTATTTCACAAGGGAGTCATACGAAGAGAATATAAGGCAGCTTTGCAAACAGCACTGAGCATAAATATGGAAAGAGGACTTCCAGCACATTCTTCAGCCTCATTGACTTTTTCAGTGCATGTGATTGTTGACTGCTTGCTAACCTTGCATCTCAGTACTGGGTCCCTTCTTGCTGCTGGCTCCTGCTGGGAAAAGTTAAGGCATCCCCACTCAACTGCATTCTGGGGGTGGAAAGCGTGGGCAGCCACTTCTCATCTCAGGCACAGGATGTTTGGAGGTCACTGTGGGCAAATGAGGACATGAGTAAGTAGGGAGGGACAGTGTTTCACACAAGACCGTCCATTCACTGTGCAAGCTGGCACACTCCCATCAGCCCCAACCAGCATGGAATGGAAGCCATAGTCCAAAACATCTGGAAGGCACCAGGTTACATCTCATTGCACTAGATCTCCAAAGGAGCTGGTTCTTTGTGCCCTCTGAGGTGCAGTGGGTGTCCACCCTTAACTGGGGAGAGTTCTGCTCATGGCTGCTAGCCAGGTGCCTCATCTGATGACGCGATGGTGCCAGGCAAAGACCGCTTTATGTTCTCAGACCATTTTAATCTGACTTGCTTTATTTCTGATCGCTTCCATGCTTTGCTGTATTTGTTTCTGCATTTATGGTGTTCTTTCAAAGCAGGGGTGGAATCAGGGGCTGCATTGCTTCCCCCGAAGCCATTCGGAGCCCCCCACCTCCCACCCCTGCTGCAAAGGAAGCAGTGATTTTGATGAGCAAAAAGGACAGGCCCTGCCTCATTTCCCTGCAACACCACTGTTTTCTCTGCTCCCTTTGCAGCAAAATCATTTTCAGAGGAGGTGGGTTGCCAAAATGGTGGGTTGGGGGCATTTGTGACTTGGGAACCACGTGTTGCTTACCCCTATTTTTAAGTGTGGTGCTCTAATACCTTATTTTTTGAATGTGTTCACTGTAAATTTGAAGACATTCTGGGAATATTTTGATGGATAGGGTATCAGTTCAAAAATGAATTAATCAGACCTGCAAGCTTGAATCAGCAGGTATTTTCATTTGACAAATCACCTGCAAAAGTAGGTTCATTGTGATGGAAACATGTCGAGAGACCTCTTTTTATTCTGGTGGCAATCTGATTAACAAAAACTTAATTGGTCAATCAGCTAATTGGATAAAGCTGAATACATTTGCATCTAATAAATTTCTTCTGTTCCTAGAGATACTTCTCCTTTGGTACAAGGCCCAACTGGAAGATCCAGGGCAAGCTCCAGGCTAGTGCAATGCAGCCATAAAATGCTTATCTAAGCTTGGTTTGGGGGTTGAGCCCCTTAAGATGAAGCAGCAATGGGCGAGTGCCTGGAAGTGACATGTATATACTTCCCAAGCCTTATTCACCCTGATGCCCTCCCAGAGCACAACCTGCATGATTCTCTGCCAGTGGAGCTGTGGGGATGATCGGAGACTGCCAGGCTGGGCAAGGCTGTATGAATTGGACAGCAGTATTGCCAAACCAAACTTGCTACTACTGGCCTGCCGCATTCTGCTACACTGGCTAGAAAGCTCACTGGGTGACTTTGGGCCAGGCATGGAACCTCAGGCTAGCCTTCCTCACAGGGTTGCTGTGAGGATAAAATGGACAGAGGGAGAACCATGTAAGTCGACTTGGATTCATTGGATGAGGAAAAATGGGGCATAAATGAAAAGAGCAGCAGCAGCAGCAACACAACCACTGTTCTTCCTGAAATATGCAGGAAGACAAAACAAAAGTATAGCTTGTTTTTAACTGAGACCTGTACATATTGAGCAGGGCTTGTCTTAGCAGAGTCATTCCCTCATGTATGAATGAAGGGAAAATCTCCTTTTGTAAGAGATTGCATGTCACTCATGTTTCTTGTAAGTTCTTGTGTCTTATGTTGATCAATAACTAAAAAATAAAAATCTACTTAATTGTGGGTTGCTCTTCTGAAATCAAAATAATGTAATGCATTAATCTAACAGGTTAAACGTGCATTCCTTCCCCAGAAGGAATGAGGAATTCATGGGGACAGTTTGCATGATCACAGCAAAGAGAAAAAAGTCACAGTGGCTTATTTTCCCTGCCATGAGTGCCCACCACATGCTGGCTGGACTTTCCTAATTGCTGTTTCTGGCATGGTTCACGGTGTCATCCAAACTTGGGTCATGTAACTCACTGAGGGGAACAGCAACCGTTAAATTACCCAGCAGCAGTCCATGGCTTATTAACTGTGTCATGATGGTGTGAAGTGGATCATTGGGTTCAACAGGGCTTATTTCCAAGTAAGCCTAAATGTTGGAACTGTACATTTCATGTGACATATGTCTGCGAACACATTTTCCTCTCTGTTCATTTTGTGTTCAGCATTTGTAGCTTTTTATAACTCTGATGTCAGAGTTGACATATGGAGGAGACTTTCCCAGCTTAGGGCTCCCAGATGTTGTTGGCCCACTACTCCCATTGTCTCTCGTCGTGGGGCATGATGACTGGGGATGTTGAAAGTTGTCATTCAACATTTGGGCACCCTGGACTGGGAGCAGCTGTTGCTGAGTAGGAGTGGGCAGAAGGTTTGGAACTAGCTGTCTGGAACTTCAGTTCACTGAAGTTCTTGTCAACATGGCCAATGCTTAGGATTTCCGCTGACCTCTGCTGTGTAGAAGGTTGCAATGCCAGGATGTAACCGTCCTATCTAGAACAATTCTAGTCCTTCATTCCTAATGACAACCTATGTTTAAATAGGTGAGTTCTTTCTGTTGACTAATGCTTCCTTCATATTAATTTCGTTCAGTTAATGATGCCATTGTATTTTTCTTGTTTAATGCCTTTCACTAGCCATACAGTGTATTACTCACTCACTGATGTCCCAAATGAAGGCGCTGGGACCCTGCAAACCAAAGAAGCATACCCTTACTCGGATGGAGAATTGGCTCCCCTGCAGAGGTAAATATTGGCGGTATAGGATGCAGCAGAGAGTCACAAGCTGTCAAATCCGGCCTCTCTAAAGCTGACTGCTGAGGCTGAATTCGTGCATGGCAGGAAAGTCATGATCATGCCTGCTTGCCCTTCCCTCACTCTGCATACATGCATCAAAACTCATGCAAAGAGCCTATAATCACATAGAAGAGTAGGACTCATTCAGCATGTCTTGCCCGAGGACCATCAGAAACATGGAGCCAGCACAATCCACATCTATTAGATGTTACCTTCGGGATGGGAAGCAGCATGCCTCTCACCATTGGTCGCCGGGAAGCATGAATGGGAGGGTGCTACTGCCTTCTTGTCCTTCTTGGGGGCTTCCAAGGTGGATCTGGTTGACAACCGTTGAAACAGAATGCTGGGCTAGATAGGCCAATGGTCTGATCCAGCATGGGGAAGTCTTTCTATCTCATTTCCCTCTTCTGATAAAGTTTGAGTAGGCTGGCCTTGTGTTAATAGTTTTCCGTACTACAGTTAGTAAAAGAGTCTGGCTCAATGTCTCTTTCCCAGCCTTTCGCCCAACTGCTCTTCGGCTCCAAAAAGTGACTCTGAATTGGAGATGCGAAATCCTGAACCATCATTTGGCTCTGAATCCCACCTGCGGTGGTCATGGGGAAGACTGCCTGAGGTGAGAGTGGTCAGAGATGAGTTTTGCCTCATGTAGTCTAGCAAATGGATTTACAAATGCATTCTGTCTCCTGTTCTTGGAAGACCACGCCACAGGACTGCTCTGTTTCCATTCTGCCACATTGCTGTCAAAGTTTCCTTGTAGTTGTGTCATTTAATAGATCTTTTTAAAAAGTAACATAGATAAGAGTCTCCAACAGTGCATCGAATTCAGCTGTAGTTAATACCCACCAACTAGTTTCAATGTTAGGCCTGGATCTCCTTTCCTGTCTTCTGTGAAGTGCTTGTCACAATCATAAAGAGAACAAGTATATTTCTCCTGCAGAAACCATGATCATATGCAATTTTGGAATGCCACTTAGTAGTGATTAGTACCTGCTAGTGTTAAACAGCAGCCTTTGGTTGGTTATCTCCAGGTTTTAAGTTATTGCAGAGAACAAAGAAATATTTGAGAAGGCATTTTAAGGAGATTTGGCTTTTGGGCAGCTGGTGGAAAAGCGTCCTCATTGTCAGACCAACAGTGGAACCAGCTGCCTAAGGAGGTGGTGGGCTCCCCCACACTGGAGACCTTCAAAGAGATACTCGACAGCCCTCTGAGTGGGAGGGTGTGTCTTGGTCTACAACAGCAGGGGTTGGACCCGATGGCCTTCATGGCACCTTCCAATTCTACTATTCTATGATTCTATGAAGTGGCAGTACTGATGAATTTCAGCAAAACAGGATTTTACCAGATGCCTTTTGCTATTTATTTAAAAATATGCACTGACCTTTTCAGGCATGTAGAACTTCACACATTTCATTGCAACATCAGATGAGTGCATTTTAATTGTTGAATCACACAGTGAAGTTTATTCTTCAGAATCCATCAGCCTTCTATGATATAGTGTCTAATAAAACTCTTTGTAAGACTTCTGTAGGCATATTAGAGCTTGATGGATTAATGACAGCACTTGTGTGCCATTTTACTTTCATGATCATTTCTTATTTGTAACAATTGTTTTGCTTCTTTTTTAGAAGCACTTGTATGAACCATTGGAAAAGTTCGTCAAACACAGATGTAACAAATGACTATTTTGTTGTGTCACTTTTTGAGTTGTTTCACTATCTTACCCCAACCCTTTGCACTATCTCTTCTTTAAGGTGAGCAAGTCGGACCAAGCAGAAGCAAGAAAGTCCACCACAAGTCTCATCTCCACCACAACAGGCCTCCCCGCAGCCTCCCCCATAGCTGTTCCTGTGAGTGAGTCCACTCACTTTGTGGCCATCTCAGCACACTCAGAAAGTGACTTGGGTATGGTTGATTCTGATGATGCATCAGGTTCTCCAGTTACGGCTGATATTAGGGTGACTCCAGTCTCTTCTACTGGGGATGGCCTCCCAGGGGATGAGGAGCATTCTCAGATGATTAGCAGTGATCTGAAGAGTGGCCCTGGACCTGCAGGAGTTGTGCAGGGTATAGCAACAACTACTGAGAACGAAGGAGCAGAACCAGCCAACAAGATGACTCAGGAGCTGGATTTCAAAGTGCTCACTTCAGGGAATACTAGTTTGGCAAATGAAGAGCCCTGCAGCCACCCAACATTGAAACAGGAGAAAAGAAGAGGTAAGTGAAATATTAAGGCTCTGGAAAAGTAGTTTACAACTAGAGATTTGCAGTAAAATGTCCCATTGTATCCCCAACCCCTAAAATAAGTTTTTTTGTTTCGGGCTCCAGCCACCTGGGAACAGGAGACTTACCATTCTATCAGGGGCTACGGAGGTAGCCTTTTATATTTCTCACCCTCCTGTACCCTTCCCCTGCTGTGCTATACAGTGATAAATAGCTCAGTTTCATCTGAACATTTCGGCATGGTAGAGGTCAAGGACAGGCAAGGAGCCACTCGTGGACTGCATTGGGACCCCACTGAAGCCCCATCACCCCACTATTATTTACAGAATAATGGCAGCAACAAAATGACACCCGGATCAGCCAGTGTTTAATCCCCTTTCAGTGCTCTGTAGCTACTGCAGTTTTAACCTTTTGGGTATTCCACAGCTATTGTAGACATGACCTTTTAGAAGGGACCTGATTGGATGGGGGCCCCCGGGGCAGGGGCAAAAATTGCTCCTAGACTTCTAGGAGTGGCCCATCTTTTATGGGAAATAGCATAGACAAGAATGTTCTGTTGTTGTTTTTAGCTTCATGCACAGTTTTTCTTCTCCCTCCTGCTGACACTTCTGATTCCCACTTCTAGTATACTAATAAGCTACCAGGGAACTGCCCATAGCCTGGCTTGCTAGGGAATGTTGAGGGTTACAAGACTTTTTCCCATTTAAGCATGCATAGGATTGCACACTTAAATTATTTAATTTATAGACATGGATGCTTCTGCATATCTTGTGAGTCCACCAAGTGTGTAGAAGCTAGAAATTTATTTTTATCTTCTGCCATTGTTAGAAGGAAGTATTGTAGAAATGGATATGGAGCAAGGCTGTTTTTCTTAAAATACTTTCTGGATCTCTCCAAGGTTCCATGAAAAGAAACCCCCATCTGGGACCTACTGACATTTATTTGGAAGATTTGTCAAATTTGGATGCGGAGGAGTTAGCACTTTATTTCCCCAAAAGGTATGGTTAATGATCATGGTTGCTCAGAGAAATTAGAGTGAAAAACTAGAATCGCAGAATTTAAAAGTTGGAAGAGACTATTAAGAAGTTCATATAGTTGAAACCCGTGCCCAATGCAGGATGCTATTACAGTATCTGTGACTAATGGCCACCTCCTAAGGTGGAACACCAAAGCCAGAGGAAAGTTAGAAAAAAGGATAACTTCTTTCTATCAAGCACACACACAGCATTTATACCTTCTTCCTCTTGTTCACCTTTATGCAAGCACTTTCACTGCAGTAATTTGATGGCTGGCATGGTATCGATGCTTTGTTCCTCTATTTTTTCCCCTGTTGTTGTCAGTGATGCTGAGCTGAGTGGTCAAGCACAAAATGATCCTGGCAGCTTCTCTTGTGCCCATGTATTGGGTGGAGCTACTGTTGATGATCTGCTGGAGCCTACAACAAACAGTTCGATGCCTCATGTCCTCCTGTCCCTCTGTGGAGGTCTTGGGGATGATGGGGAATTATCTCATGGTATGTCTGGAGGAGGAGGAGAAGGGAGAAGTTATAGCTTGCGATGGATCCAGCAAAAGTTTGTGTGTGTGTATGGGGGGAGGGGGGAACAATGAGAAAGATGGCTCGTCTGTTCAATGAAAGTTTAAAGGGATGTTTACTGGTGTTGGAGGAAGAAACAACAGCCAAACAACAAGTTGCAACAAGATGGCTGCAGCTAGATAATATAGTGAGAGATCTATGGTTGGACCTCCAAATGTTTTAATGAAGCTAAATGAGTTAGGGTGGCCCTTTGTCCTCTTGTATAGTCCTCTAAAAGAAGAGTTGCCAGTGGACTGTTCCCTATTTTGAATATATCCTCTGTTTGAAGGGCTGCCCAGTTTAAGTTTGGACTTGTATAAAGTTGAAGAACCATCAGATTATCTGGAGGAGGCTGAGCAGAACATGGCTTGCTACAGTCACCTGCCTTTTCAGGGAGTGGATGCAACAGCATGCAGAGCCTCTGCCAGCCATCCAGAAGTTCTGCATTAGCACCTCGTGGGTGCTGATGTCAGTGCTTGACCACTTGGCTAGCATGACAAGCCTTTTCAGCCCTTCTCCAAATGCTTTGGCCTACAGTGCCCATCAGCCCTTGTAAGCATAGCCAATGGTGAGAACTGGTGGGAGGTGAAGGCCAAAACATATGGAATGCCACAAGTTGCCCGTTCTTTCCCTACACTGGCATTATCGTTCCTTGGAGGAGGAAAGCAACTGCAAGAGATATGGCTAGAAAAACTTCTGTGTACTTTCTAGTGCCTCCTTTCTTGATGTCAGCTATTTAGAAGCTAACTGACACTAAAAAGCTGCTTAGTGAAGAAGGACAGGTGCTTTTCTGCATTTTGGATTTACCTTAAACTGTCTTACCAAGATATGCATTGGTAAGAGGGACCTAATAAAGGGGTATTGGGGAATTTCTGTGCTGCAGATCTAGGTTAGTTTAATAGTTCCTCTCCCCAGGGAACTGTGGTTTTGCAAGTGAAACTAGAAATCTCCAGTAGAACTTTTGGCCCGCTGCTCAGTATTACTTGGGAAGATGTGATATAACATTCATAAAAGTGTGTAGAGCAGATCTACTCTTGGAGTATAAAGCAGGACAATTATGGGGTTTCAATTAGAAAAGTAAAGTAGCACTTTGCTTGCTGAGGTCTAGTGGTTAGTAACCACCACTGGTTTCACGTGAAGTTGTTGGAAGTGGCTGGTGACCTGGCTTAAAAAAAAAAAAAATCTCCCTTCTGTTTCTAGCTGAGAAGTTTATGAAGCATATAGTTTCCTACCAAGAGTTTGCAGAGAACCCAGCAATTCTTGAGGACCAAAATTTGGTGGTAAAGTTCCAGAATAAGTGAGTAGAAAGGTCACTTTCTGCACTGAAGCACTGGTATTCACTGTTGCAGTTTTATGTACAGTAATGTACACATGCACATGAGTAAACACAGGCCAATGTTGTGTCATGGTTAAGAGTGCAGCACGGGGATACAAGAGGTCTGGGTTCCAGTCTCTGCTCAGCCATGGGGCCAGCTGGGTGACTTTGGGCCAGTTGCAGTCACTCAGCCGAACCTACCTCACAGGGTTGTTGTTGTGGGGATAAGATTGAGAACAGGAGGAGGAGAATGATGTAAGCTGCCTTGAGCCCTTTGTAGGAAAAAGGCAGAATATACATCTAATAAATATATAGATAAACCTGGTTTGAATTCTGGAAGCTTAGAGATATTCTTGGTGGTTCTTAAATTCTGTCTTCTCCATGTCAAAGATTGGTATATGAAAGTGGACCTTGCATTCCCTTCTCTCTCTCTCTCTCTCTCTCTCTCTCTCTCTCTCTCTCTCTCTCTGTGTGTGTGTGTGTGTGTGTGTGTGTGTGTGTGTGTGTGT